TGCCTAGAATTGCCTCCCAGCACAGTGGTACGATGCTGCCTTTCTTCCTTCATGCACCCCCCCCGTGCCCACTTTTCCCATGAAGCCTTTGACAGAACCCCGTTATTTTCCAAAAGCTACAAAGAAATAAGGAGGGGGAAAGTATAAACTACGGGAGAAAGTAAAGATAGCCACTAAAAACCCAAGAGGTGGTGGTCATAAAATGGTTACAATATAGCTTTAAGTCAAAGAGAGTAATTTGTTACATTTAAGGTGATCATTAAAGTTGCTTATATGCTTCAAGTCCAGATATTCTGACTTAGTAAAGTACAATACAAAAGAATGAGTAAATATTACAAAAAAAAGAAAACAAGCTTCAGAGAAAATTAGCATCTCATTTTTTGCCTCGTCTTTCTCTCAATCAATATTCTTGCTTGGGGGCAGCTGCCCCACGTTCCGAATCCGAATCTTCTTCAGTAAGTGTTTCATCATGGCTTCCCTTGTCCTCATCATCTTCCCCCTTTGGTCCAAGTTGTTGCTGCAAGAACTCACATGCTTTCATGACAGAGTCAGTTTCCCCCCTCTTATCTTTAAATTTGAAGATTATCCCTTCAGGTAGGATCCATTTGTAAGGGATGATATTCTTTTGTAAAAACAAAACCGAGTCTCTGTATTTTTTCCTTTTTTCCCTTATTTCAAAGGGAATGTCTTTCAAAACTCTTATCTCGTTGCCATCAATTTTAAGGGTAGTTCCATTTGTTGCCTTTAAAATCTGGTCCCTCACTTGTCTTTGGGAGAATCTAACCACCACATCACCGGGCAGATTATTTTTCTTTGTGTATTCTGAATATGACCTATAGATCACATCCATCTCACTTTGAAGAAAATATGCTTTTAAATTTGCAACCGGCCCCAAAGCATCAATCATGATCTGCTTAAGATTCTCCCCTTTAGTCTCAGGAACTCCCTGAAATCTCAGAATAAAGCTTGCCTTTTCCATTTGTAGCTGTAATAGCTGAGCTTCATCAGAGTTTCTCTTCTTTTCCATCTTCTGCATTTGTTTTTTAAGCTTTTTGGTGTTGGCATCCACTTCTTTCAGATTTTCAGCTGTTTGCTCTGCTTTTTTACTAGTCTCGTCTAATTGCTGTTGCTGTGCAGCAAAATTTTGACTGAGTGTCATTATTTGCTCCAGCAGGGGTCACAAATCATCTGTTAGCATCTTGGAGAAGTCTATAGTTACATCCTGTTGCGTGACCGCACTTGCTGGACTGGCACTTCTTGGAGGAGGCTTAGGTTTCGTAAGCTTATCTTTCCCCGTCTTTTTCAGCGCCATCTTTGAGGATGTTTACATTTAATAAAATTTGCCGAAAGTCTCTCAAGTCTGCAAACCGCCTGGAAATCTCTTGTAAGTTCCTTAATATAGTCCCGTATCGCTTTTAGTTCTCCCCCCCTTTAAAAAGCGTGTTTTAAGTCCATTTTATTTTCCGTGGGGGGTTCCCCCCTCCTTGCTTGTTTTTTGGGGGACTTTTAGCTGGTTCTCTGGTGCTCGCTTCAACCAAACTCACTCTTAATGTAGATCACGTAGATCTCGCCATCAGTCATTTAAAACGCTCGACCTCCACTTGCTTGCATCTCTGAGTCCAATACTGGAACACAGCGGCGAGACCGTCGGGGCATCGGAATGCCTCAATTCGGCAACGTGCCCCATGGCTAGGAACCCTTCGCAAGGGCTCCTGGGGGGCGCATACAATCACACCCCCATGTGCTGGTTCATGGATCGTGTCCTTGGGAGATCCAAAGAGACGCGTCTGCCATTAGAGCACCTAAACAGAAAGCTCTGAACCCCGTTAGTTCTTGCATGAATGCAGAGTCTTGCCCTGTTTCTCCCCACTTCCCTTCCTGTCTTGTCTCCCTTGCCTCAGAGTTTAGATTGCAGTCCCCTTGGGGCAGGAACCTGCTGCCTTGTACTCTGTAAAGCACTGTGCACATTATTAGCATTAACGTGAGTGTTACTTGTTGTCTTACACTGAAATGCCCTACTAAATTTTGCTTTACAACAATGTACTTATACAGTCCTTCAAATAAAACTGCATTCCTTAAAAAGTAAGTTGGACTTGCATGTCATATACCATTTTCATGTGCTTCCCATTTTTTCCTTGTTCCAAGCATACTTTCTTCACAAATACTATTGTTGCCTCTCCTGGATTACATTAGCTTTAAAGAAAGCCACTGAAAAGGGCTTAATCCAGCTGGGGCCCAGTGGTTGGCCCACAAACCAGACTGGACTGGGAAGGGAATGGAAGCAAACTGTATTGGATGGTGCTTCCTTCGGCATCAACGTCTCTTTGGCTGCGTGACCTTTGTAAATCCCCCCCCCCCCCCCCCCCCCCCCCGGCCTGGCTTCTGCAGTTTTGAAGTTCAATGGAAGGACATGTCTGCTTATAGTTGAAATGTGTGCGAACCAATTTACAGGAAATGAGTGGCTGGCTCTGGCATCCTGTAGCAAGTCATCAGCGGAGCTATTTGGGCAGATAATAGCCCTGCCCTGCAGCGTCACAAACTGGGATTTGATGCCACCTAGAGTTAGGCGTCAGGATAACCTGAAGGTGCTTTCAGAATCACCGGACTGAAAGAGAGCAGAGCAGTGGTGGCTGACCATGGTGCCCCCGCCCTCCGTCTGCTCGATTCCTGCCCTGAACGGCTCACAAATACTTGCTGCTGCTTCTGCAAGTCAACCAGTCTGAGGAAAACATACTTCTATTTCCAGAAAATGGAAGCTGCTAAAACACATTGGCATAATACTTGCACGTTTGATCATTTCAGACTTGGTCCAAGCAGTCACCAGGAGCCCTTCGCTTGCCTTGGTCCCTTTTCTGCTTGTGTTGCCTCCGTTAGGGAGCAGCACCCTCCTCAGCCCCTTCATCTGGGACTGGATCTGCTGAATCAGCACGTGGAGGTTCCCCCCCCCCCTCCCCCCCCCCCCCTGCATTTTATTAACTTTATTGATTTGAAGTTATTTCTTCTTTTGCTCCCCTGTGTCATCCTTCTACATTGGGGGGCGGGAGGCCTTTGAAACTATTGGGTGCTTTTTGTATAAGCATCATCCTAAAATCATTAAATAATTGAGACGGCTGTCAGGTCTCAAGGCTTCTTTTCTATGAAGGTTGTTTCTTGTTTGCTCAGTGCTTTGGTTTTATAAACTGCCTCAGAGCTGAGATTCTGGTGGAGAGCTTGAGATAAAGATGCCCCTCTTTGGGGAATAGTTGCCTTGCTTTTCATTGGGATCAGCTCATGCACCCCCTGATTGGTTGCCTCCAGTCCCAGGCGTTGGAGGGCTGGTGTGGTGCAGGCCTTGGAGTATCCGAGTATGATCCAGGTTCTGATCTCTGCTCCCCCATGACATGTGCTGGACCTGGGGCAGATCAGCCATTATGGCCACCCAGGGGCTTGTTCTGGTGGGCCGATGGCCTCCTACCTACACCTGGGCGAGCCCAGCCCAGCAGCAAGAAGGGCCTTCCTGGGCAGGCAGTACCTGGCCCATCCCTGTGAGGCAGCACCTGGCCTGCGTGGCCCCAAGCCCACGTGGGGAGGGGGAGGCAGTGCCCAAGGCCTCACAGCCTATCAGAGCCCTGTGTGAAGAAGAAGAAGAAGAAGAGAGATTGGATTTATACCCCATGGCCCTTCACTACCCAAAGGTGTCTCAGAGCGGCTTACAAACTCCTTCCCCTTCCCTTCCCCACAACAGACACCCTGTGAGGTAGGTGGGGCTGAGAGAGCTCTTGACAGAAACGGCTCTTTTTCAAGGACAGCTCTTATCAGAACTACGGCTTGCCCAAGGTCATCCAGCCCAGGTGCAAGTGGAGGAGGAGTGGGGAATGAAACCCGGTTCTCCCAGATTAGAGTCCACACACTTAACCACTACACCAAACTGGCTTGGAAGGAGGGGCCAGCTTTGCAGGCAGGCAGGCTTGCCCCTCCCTCCTTTTCCAGGGCCATGTTTGCTTTTGGTGTGCCCTTGGCTGGGCGGGTGACTCCAGTCCAAGTGAGTGAGAATTTGAACCAAAATCTCTCCCCCCCCCCAATCCAAACTGAGAGCTGTATATCTAATTCTGTTCTGTGGCTATCCACTGCAGCGTAACACTCCCTCTTGCCTCCCTTGGCCTTTTCTAATATCCTGCTACACCCGGAACACTTCCTGCTTTTCATTTTATGCTGTCGCTGCTTTATATTTCCCCACAACTAAAACCAGGGTCTGAGGACCGAGTTTTTGGGCCAGGTGCACACATCCCCAATCCACAAAGTCACACTCCTCAAAAGTTCTACCCTCAAGGAAGGGAAATAAAAGAAAGGGGGACAATATTCATTTTATGTTGCCTTTTATCCTCACCCCAGTTTATTTCTTTACAAGAAATGTCCTAGCTCCTTTTGAAAACTCTTTAAAAAAAATTGTGTGTTTTTGTTCCGTCCTTTCTGCAGGAAACTCAGGGTGTCCATTGTTTCATCCTCCCAACAACCCTGTGAAGCAGTTTAGGGTGATTGGCCCAAGGTTACCCAGTGGACTTCATAGCCAGGGGGTGGGGTGGGGGGGCAGAACCTGGGTACCTCTGAATCCACTAAACCACACTGGCTCCCATATGCCCAGCTGCACTTAGACAAAGGGTCTACAGCTCCACATTAGGATGCACCGTACAAAGCCAGATGTGCAGACTAGACAGCTTGTGATTTTTTTCCACAGTAGTCCCCGGTGGATATATGGGCCATTAAGGAACAGGAGGAGACTGTTGTAATTCTGGGAGGCTTCAGGCTCCATCTTGAGGTTGATAAACCTTACCAGCAACTCAGTTTACTGCACAAAGGGTACCAAGTTGCACATTAGAATGAATTCTGCTTCCTGCATTGCTGTCAGCCGATCAGGATCCTCTCATATGCCACTGGAACCGACTCTGCAGATCCCATTTGCGATCCAACTTGTATGTGCCTTTTTTTGTTAAACAGGCGCTGTCTTTATTTTGGTTTCTTAGATCTTCTCCATGGATCTCCTCAAACGGTACGAAGAGATATTGGTCTGTCTGTTACACACAGGTAAATAATGCAAAACACTTAATGATAAAAGAGCAGTTGTGGTCCAATTCTTCGGTTCATGACTGTTTGCAATTCTAGATGGGGACAGGCTTCACCTGCAGGGCAACAAGGGGTTACACCCACATCCTCTCACAGGAGCATTTAAGTTGCATCCCAGAAGATCTGTGTGTGGGTGACTGTATCTTGGGTGCATTCACTGCAAAAGGACTTTCTAAGGAGTAGCTTGAATGTTCCTTCTCAAAGATGGCACCTGTGCGGATGGAAGATGGACTGTACACTCCCACCCCACCCTGCCACAACATTGCAGAGGATTATGGGGCACATATTTGACATACTTGAAAGCCGGCTCTGCTAAGAGCAGCCTGCAAGCACAGACTTAAACACTGTGTCTGGCAATGGTGGACACTCCTCAAATTGTGCCATTTTTAAAAGTTTCCTTTGTTTGGTAGGGTTGGCCTGTTATGCCCATGGGCCTTCTTAATGTGATCCATTTTCCAGGAAAAACCGACTATGACCTTGTTCCTACTTGTAGTTCTTTGTCTCTCCGATACTGCCAGGCACATAACTGGCTCCCATCATGATTCTGACCTGATGGCCTCCCCCCCCCAGCGCACACACAAATGGCCTGCACAGCTGTAGCAGAGAAACTTTGAGTCCGCGCCAGCAGTCGGATTGCTGACTCCAGCTTGGGAGATTCTTGGAGGTTTGGGGATATGATGCCACAGAGTCTTCTCTCCGCAACTGCTGCTTCCTCCTCCAAGGGAACTGAACTCTGCAGTCTGTTGCAATTCTGAGAGGCTTCAGCCCAACTAGTTCTGTAAAAATATTCCCCACCACCACCACTGTGTCCAAGTGCCCAACTGGAAACCTGGCAAACCGCCGTGCAGAAATCCTGCCAGTCTGCCTTTCTTTGAGTTAGACCAGTGGTCAGTCTCAGTGCATGTATTTATTATTTATTAGATTTTTTTAATGCTGCCTCTCCCGGAACCTCCCTGAGGCAACTTTAAAAATAAAAATAATAACAACAAAACATTAAAAGATATTAATTAAAATCTGGCATCAAAAACATAGACCATAAAACCAGACTGCTGACAGCTTGAGTAGCATAGACTCCAAGCAGTCCTCAAGGGGAAGGACAATTTCACAGTCTGGAGGGAAGGCTGTTTCCAAACCTACATCAGGGTCAGTGTTCCCTCTAAGTTGAGTGAGTGTGAGCTAGCTCACAGTTTTTTAGCCTGCAGCTCACAGACTTTTGTCTTACCTCAGGAAGGAGGGCTCCAGAGCAAACTAATTTATGCAGCAGCCAAATCGCTCGCTCACAACTTTAATACCAGTAGATCACAAAGCAGAATTTTCGCACACAAGACTCCACAGCTTACAGGGAGCATTGATGATGATGAAGAAGAAGAGATTGGATTTATACCCTGCCCTTCACTACCCGAAGGAGTCTCAGAGCAGCTTACAATCTCCTTTCCCTTCCCCTCCCCACAACAGACACCCTGTGAGGTGGGTGGGGCTGAGAGAGCTCTCTCGAGGACTGCTTTTGAGAAAACAGCTCTGAGAGGACTTGTGACTGACCCAAGAAGAAGAAGAGATTGGATTTATACCCCATGGCCTTTCACTACCCAAAGGGGTCCGAGCGGCTTACAGACTCCTTTCCCTTCCCCTCCCCACAACAGACACCCTGTGAGGTAGGCGGGGCTGAGAGAGCTCTTGACAGAAACGGCTCTTTTTCAGGAACAGCTCTTATCAGATCAGGGTGTCTTTTTAGCTGGAAATACCAGGGGTTGCTGTGACCCCTCCAAATGATAGAGAAGTCTAGGGCTGTTTCATGAGGAATCGGGCCTGGGGTCCATCTAGTCAGCACTGTCTCTGCTCTGGCTGGGGTCTCAGGCAGAGAAAGGCATTTCCTGACATGGGCTCTTGAGATTGTTTGTAATGGGAGATGTCAAGGATCAGACCTCTAGGGTCTTCTGTGTGCAGAGCAAGGGCTCTACAACAGAGCTACAATCCTCTCTCTAAAAGGATGACTGGAAAATGGGAGAAAAAACATTCCTTACAAAGATACCGCCAACTGTCGAACCCATCATGTTTTATTTCTGTAGTTCATTGGTATGCCTTTTTTCCTCCTTACACCCCCATTGCTTTTTATCTTCCTTAGATTCTCTACAAAGTCTTGGCTCTCTCAGGTGTGCCAGGTGTGTCAGAAAAGCATGATGTTTGGCGTGAAGTGTAAACACTGCAGGTGAGTTTGCGAAAAGTTACTTCTATTGTATGGAAAGTGCCTCAGAGTGTGCAGTGTGACTCTGTATTATCTGCCATGGATGTGCATTGGGGCTCTGGAGCCCCATTCCTCGCTGTTCCTGAGAGTTTTATTGTTGTAAGGTGGCTGTGGGGGAGGAGAGAGTAGCTTTCTCAAGGCTATCCCAGCAACGCTCTTGGCCTGAGCTGAGCGTGGCATGATTCCAAGAAAGATAGAAATGAGTGAGAGGAAAAACAGGTGAACGCAAATGATGAGTGTGAGCCACTGCAGTCACACACATGAGGTCTTGGTTAAGGCTGGATGTCATGACCCCAGCTGCAGGCAGCCAACTGTACATGCATGCGCAGAAGGAAAGGACCCGGAGAATTTGGGGTGGGAGGGAGAGTGCATGGCACTGAGGGACTAGGCATACGAAGCAGCCATAGACTTGATCAGACCGTTTGTCTACCAAGGTCTACTCTCCAGGGATGCGCAGGTCTTTCATATCACTCACGATCTGATCCTTCTTTTAGCTGGAGATGCTGGGGATTGAACCTGGGATCTTCTGCATGCAAAGCAGATACTCTACCTCCGTGCCGTGGCCCCTTGTAAAGGCATCAGGCCTGGGACCAAACACATTAGCCAGGAACCCCCAAGTTGGGTTCTTCTAAGACACCCTTGCCACTAATGAAGGCCTCAGAGTCCCCAAGCCCTGCTCACCGAGGGAGGGGACGTGCCTGGTGAGACCCAGTGGGGAGATGCAGAGCACTTTCCTCCAGTCCAGGAAAGTTCCCTATCAAAGTCTTTGCCCTTCAGGAAAGGGGTGAAGCCAGAATTAATTAATTACCATATGGCGGTGTGTGTAGTATAGCCAGTAGACCCTAAGATTGTCTGGCAGCCAGAAGTTCAAGCTCTTTTAGCGTTATGCATCACCCGGCGGTGAGTGAGACTTGTTTTAACACAAGAGACGTTTCAGAGGTGGTTTGCCATTGCCTGCCTCTGCGTCATGCCCCTGGTATTCCTCGGCGCTTGCCCATCCAAATACTGGCCAGGGCCGACCCTGACGAGTTCTGGCTAACCTGGGCTATCTAGGTCCGGGTGGTGGAGCCTGAGAGGATATAGGAAGGGCTCAAGTGACCCTATACACTGTTGGCACAAGCCAGTGGGCCCCTGTGACCTGTCCAGGGTTCTGAAACTCCTGTTCCTGTCATCATGCTTGTGACCCTCAGTTCTTTGAGTTCCTCCTTTGCTTGTCTGGTAACTTTTCCTGTCTGCTGGGTTTGTTTACAGCCTTCCTGTGGCTTTGGCCTTGTTGAGTCTACAAACTGGGGAGGGGGTTAAGGGGCTGGTGGGACCCATTGTGCCAGGAATTTGCTAATTTTTTTTCTACAGGCTTGTGACTTTCTCAGTGGGACTTTCTCAGTGGGACTTCTTATTAGCAGGCATGTGAGTTCTAGCCACTGAGACAGCTGCACAGTCAGTCTTCCTAGGACTGTTCTATGTACCTCGTATAATCTAATGTGTATCTTATCTCTCCCTCTTTTTTGCAGATTAAAGTGTCATAACAAATGTACAAAAGAAGCCCCTCCCTGTAGAATATCTTTCCTGCCCTGTAAGTTTGGTCTCCCCCCACCCCCAGATTCGTAGCCATTTTGTTGCAATGAAAAAAATCCAGACTTCACACTTTCGTTTTCCTCTTCTGTTCCATCTGTCTTCAGTAGTACCAAGATTAAGGCGAACAGAATCTGTCCCTTCTGATATCAATAACCCAGTGGACAGACCTTCGGAACCACAGTTCGGGACTCTTCCAAAAGCACTAACTAAAAAGGTACTTAAAAAAAAAAGATACAGAATTCTTTACTTTAATGATGCAACTCTATCAGCCTAAAGGCCATGAACTGAATCACAAGAAAATCCCCTGAGATAAAATCACTCAATTATTTGCTATCTATCATTACCCGGGATTTTTTTTTTGGCAACTGATAGGGTTACAATAGGATCTGACCCAGCCAGCAGAAATTTCAATTCGTCATGTATGGGCTCATCAATAACTACTTGCAAACAAAGAGAAATCAGTTTCTTCCTTATGTGCCTGAACAGGCTGCACTCTAAAAGACAGTGTTCCAGTGTATCTATCTGCCCTGATGCTCACAACACATCCTGTTAGAATAAGGCCTATTACTATATCGAACATATAATAACTGAGATGGAATTGCATTTAGCCGAGGTAGCATAAAACCTCTCCTGTGGGTTTTTAAAAAAATTATATTTTTACTAAAAAAATTTAAGCAAAAACAACTACAAGTTTGATTTAAAAAGGGGGAAACAATAAAAAAGAAAAAGAGAAAGTCAAAGAAATGTACCAGTAAAACTTTCAAAATTTCTCAATGACACAGACTATTACAGTCACTTAATGTTAAGGCTAAAGTTAGGACACAGTTAGTTACCCTAAACAACAGAATTACCTCAACACTTCTTACATTTCTGTTTCTTAAGAATCTCCATAATCATCAAATCCACAAGTCATCAATTCATTTTTTCTTTTTCATGCAAAAAGTCAATAAGACGCTTCCAGTTAGCCATGAATGTAGATATCTATGTAGATACCGCTCATATTTGTCAGTATAACACCCAAATATTTCACTTTCTTTTCAACTTTAAAACCAGTTTTGTTCCTCAATTGTATTTGCTCTTGTAATTTCATATTTTTGCTTCTTATGTCTCTCTAAGTATTCCATAATACCTAGAACCTTCCTAATGTCGTCTTTTAATGGTTTTTTTTGGGGAAAACCACATTGATCATGAATGAATTATTGCAAAATTATTTTCAATCTTTCTGCTACAATTGTTATAAACAACTGATAACCATTGTTCAGTAAAGATATCAGTCTGTAGTTTTTAGTCATACTAAGGTCTTTCTTGTCCCTCCTTAGGTATTAATGTTACACTGGCTTCTTTCCAAGAGTCCAGCATCTTTCCACCTTGTAGAATAGAGTTCACTATAATCTGTAGTGGTTGCAAAAGCTCATCTTCAAAACATTTATAGTACAATCCTGGTAGGCCATCTGGACCTGGTACTTTTCCTGGTTTGATTTTCTTTATAGCTTCTACCACTTCGCTTGTCATTATCAGGCCATTGACAACATACCTTCGCTCTTCTGTGATCTTTGGCAACTCTTGTTTTTCTAGAGATGTCTCTATTTTTGTCAAAGGCACATCCTGTCCTTTATATAAATTAGAATAATAATTATAAATGATTTTTTGAATAGCCACATTGTCCGTGACTACCTTATCACCTTCTTGTAATTTCAATATCGTTTTCTTTTCTCTTTCTTTTCTCAGTTTATATGCCAACCATCTTCCTGGTTTATTTACATGCTCAAAGTTTCTTTGTTTCACAAAGTTCAGTTTTGTTCCCATTTGTCTTAGTGTTAACATGAACAGTTGTTGTAAAAATTTTATTTGATGCGAGATATTTATATTTCCTGGGGAATTTTTTAATTTATCCTCTTTCCTTTTAATTTCAACTAATACCTTTTGTAATTTCTCTTGACTCTTTTTCTTAAATTCAACATTATGTTGTATAAAATGGCATCTCATAAAAGCTTTACTTGCATCCCAAACCATTCTCAAATCTGTACCTTTATTTACATTATTTTATTATTTATTTATTAATTTATTATTTTAATTTATAGCCCTCCCTCCCCGCGAACGGGCTCAGGGTGGCTCACAAATGGGGCACATGCCAATACATAAAACAGCTTAAAAAGAATCATTATAATATTACAAAACTATAAAGTGCTCTAGATGTTTCAAATCAGTTTTCAATAAAAAGATGGCATCATAAAAATGGCCCTCCCAAATCAGTGGTGTCCACGCAGCGCTGTCGTTCACTCATCTCAGGGCCAGTTGATGGTGATGGTAAAGGTCATGATCGTAAGGTAGTGGTAAGGTAGTGGCGGCTCCTACTGAAAAGCCTGGCGGAAGAGCTCCGTCTTACAGGGCCTGCGGAACTGCGCAAGGTCCCACAGGGCCTGGATCTCCTCTGGGAGCTCATTCCACCAGGTAGGAGCCGCCACCAAAAAAGCCCTGGCCCTGGTTGCGGCCAGCCTGGCCTCCTTGGGGCTTGGGGTCACCAGGAGATGTTGCGTTCCCGACCGTAGTGCCTGTTGGGGAACATATGGGGAAAGGCGGTCCCTTAGGTATGTCGGACCCTGGCCATATAGGGCTTTAAAGGTAAGAACCAGCACTTTGAAATGAATCCGGTACACTATTGGCAGCCAGTGCAGCACTTTCAGCACAGGCCGGATGTGGTCTCGACTAGGGAGGCCCATCAGCAGCCTGGCTGCAGCATTCTGCACTAGCTGCAGCTTCCAGATTTGTGACAGAGGCAGCCCCATGTAGAGAGCGTTACAGTAGTCTAGCCTCGAGGTGACCGTCGCATGGATCACTGTGGCCAGGTCATTGCGGTCGAGGAAGGGAACCAACTGCTGAGCCAGCCAAAGATGGTAAAAGGCCGACTTAGCCGTGGCTGCCAACTGGGTCTCCATAGTTAACGAGGAGTCCAGGAGCACTCCTAAACTCCTAACCTCCGGCGCTGGCACCAAAGGCGCCCCATTGAAAGTTGGGAGAGGGAGCCCTAACCCCAAACTGCCCCGACTCAGGCCCAGGACCTCTGTCTTCGCTGTGTTTAGCTTCAGCCGACTCAGTTGGAGCCAACCAGCCACGGCCTGCAACGCCCGGTGCAGATCTTCTGGGCTGGATTCTGACCGGCTGCCCAACATCAGATAGAGCTGGGTGTCATCTGCATATTGATGACACCCAATCCCATACCTCCGGGCAATCTGGGCAAGGGGGCGCATGTAGATGTTGAACAACACTGAGGAAAGCACTGCCCCTTGAGGCACCCCGTATTCAAGCGGATATCTCCGGGACTGCTGTTCCCCTATCACCACCCTTTTTCCCCGACCTTGGAGAAAAGAGGCAAGCCATTGAAGGGCGAGCCCCTGAATCCCCATGTTGGCAAGGTGGTGGGTCAGCAACTGGTGGTCGACTATATCGAACACAGCCGACATATCTAACAACAACAGTGCTGCCACACCGCCCCGATCCAGATGCCTCCGGAGGTCGTCAGTAAGAGCAACCAGTACTGTCCTTGTCCCATGCCCCGGGCGGAAGCCGGATTAAAAAGGATCTAGGAAATTAATTTCAAAAAATTATTTTTTTACAATGTTCCACAATCGCTTCCTTTTGTAACAAGACTTCATTTAATCTCCATCTAAAGGTGCTAATTTTTCGTTTGAATACCAAATTTACCAGATTATGCTCAGAAAAGATATTTAGCATGATCTCAGCTTTGGCAACTTTAACAACTAAATCTCTGGAGATCCAAAGCATATCTATCATAGAAAAGGATCTATATCTTTCTGATAAATATGTAAATTCCATTGAGATACCATATATCTGTCTCCATAAATCCACCAAACCTAAATTTTCAGTCAAATCAAAGAAGGCTTTAGGAAGCTTACCTTGTGTAATTTTAATATTTTTTTCAGACAGTCTGTCTGTTTGTGGCGAAGTCACTTCATTCCAGCCACCTATCAGGCACCAACTATCATATGAAAAATTTATGTGTCTATCCATCAATTGCCTATAGAATGTCTCTTTATCCTCACTGGGGGCATAAATTCCCAACACCAAAGTATTGGTCCCCAATGTAATTTCAACCCCACGTATCTACCATCTATTAAATCTCATTTAATGTCAGAACTGGTATTTATAGATTTAAATACCAGTTCTGACTTTAAATGAGATATAATATATGACACAACACCATTTTTCTTCTTTCAACCTGGTGTAGGTTATTCTGAAGGTTCTGTTTCCACCCACTATGTTTTATGTCTTCTGGAAAAAACTCCTTGGCTTTTGAACAGAATTCAGCCTATATATCCATTGTTGAAAATTAAAAATTACCCCTTCTAATTTGTCCCATCAGAATAAAATTTTCTAATCTTTCCTTTTGCGTAGGATCCTAATTAGAATTTCTTTCAAAACAATCATCTCTGTAGTATCACTCTTGAATTTGACTTTAGCGTGTTGTTGTAAAACCTGGTCCCTTGGTTTTTTCCCCTGACAAAATGTACCAAAATATCTCTTGGCACTTTTTAAAAATGTTATGACCACTTATGTAAAATTCTTTGGCTGCCTGCCAAAGACTCCCAACTCATATGAAACTACACATTAAAAATTAACAACTGAAACTGTATTATGACCAATACAAGACAGTAATAACAACAATAATACAGTCCACAGTAAACAATGACCAAGAAAAATAAAAAAATAACAACTGTGCACTGTAAAAACCTACACAAGACCTTACAAAAAGAGACTTCAACACAATAAGTAATTCAACACATGTAATCCATCATAGGAAAATACAAACGTCCACAATTTCCCCAAGGGGAAGAACAAAGTCCAGAATAGAAATCTCTCAAAGGGAAACAATAAAGTCTGGAATAGATGTCCAACGCTTTTCCTAGGTATTGATCAATGTTTCGGCCTTCAGGTCCTTCCTCAGGAACTAAAAGCCACTACAGGAAGTCTCATTGCAGTTTCTTAACAGGTAAACATTATTCAGTTTCTATATGGGCCAGGTCTCCTAAGCTTTAGAAAGCACCTAAACATGCCTCACATGTTTTGGTCCAACTTACATAGCAGCAACTTTTGTAGGTGCTTTCTAAAGCTTTCCCTTGGGGAAATTGTGGACTTCTGTATTTTCCTATGATGGATTACATGTGTTGAATTACGTATTATGTTGAAATCTCTTTTTGTAAGCTCTTGTGCAGGTTTTTACAGTGCACAGTTGTTATTTTTTTGTTTTTCTTGGTCAATACAAGACAGTAGTCAATTATAACATCAGTATCACACACAAATAACAACATTCCAGTTGCCAACAGACCAAATAGTACATTCAGACATAGCAGTGTGGAGAGATACATCCATAGTTGCTGGTAACAGCAATACAAAGTCCTGGTATAAGGCCCTTGTTTCTTAAGCGTTCTTCCTCAGTCGCTGTAAAACAACAAATTAAAAGCAAAACAGGCAGCCCATTTTGGGAGTTTTACATAAGTGGTTATAGCAGTTCTCTTACTCCGTTGTCCTTTGTTGTTGTGCAGACTTCTTAAAATTGTGGCAGATATTATTTATTTATAGATTAGATTAGATCAGTACCTTGTATTAATTCTATAGACTTGGTCAATTTCAGAGTGTGTATGATCTTTATCAGTCTCTTAAAAATCTGCCAATGCTTCTACAACTTTCTCTCTAATATTTTCACCAGAGGCTTCAGGCAAAGATCTAAATCTCAAACTGAATTCTTTCCCTCTCAGTTCTAACAAAGACAGTGTATCCATTTCTCTTTCTAGTTCTCTATTCAACATTTCTGTTTTGCACACCAAAGATTCTATTCTCTCATTGGTATGTTGAAACTCCCCTGAGGTTTGTTTAATGGAATTTTCAAACTTCTTAAGCTCTTCTGTGATCTCTGTTTTCATATTTGGACATTCGTCCTCCATTTTTTTGAATTTCACCTCCATATTCCTTCCAAATTCCTCAAATAGATTCTGTAAAAATTCATGGGCCTTTTCTGAAGGGTTTTTTTTTCCAAATCTAAGGATTGAACACATTTTCTAGTTCCCACCATAGTTAAACTGTAATGTGGCACAGTAAAAAAAATATTATATAGTCAGGAGGGCCTTGCAGGTACAAAAGACCAAAGTAGATAGAGGAACAAACTCTTCGAGCTCGCATACATGAGCTGAATAGATCTATTTCAAAAAGCCGCTTGGAAATTAAAGGTATTAGCAGAAGCCAGCCATAAGTCTGTTAGTTCTGTAGGCTGAAAACCTAATAGTGAGAGTCTTGATTCAACCAACTCCTTCCAAGGGCTTGAATAAGGATCTTCTCTTAACAGGGATAAATATCCACCATTAGCGAACAGTATTTTCAGCCAACACCAAAATATTTCACAATCGATCGAGACGTTATTAGGGCCTTATTATGTGCTTTATCCAAAGGGGGCTTCCATGGTACGTTGAACTGAAAGTTAACCCCTCGGTAGCAAAACTCATTTACTTGTTGCACTGTGCAGCCATTAAGATTCCGTACTAATTGAGGTGGGTGAGACTTGGAGAAAACGTGTCATAGTTAATTGTGAGTCCCTCTTGCTGACAATATGCTACACAGGATTTCAGTAAACGATGCAATCCACCCTGAGTCCTGGAGCATAGGGCCATATCATCAGCATGAAGTAGTACTGGTACCTAGCTGCTGCAAGTAAAGAGTCCCATCCTCTCAACATAACATCATATTTTTCTCCTCCCCATCAAGTTCTTCCACGCCCCCTTCATACTCCATAGCAGCACCAATAAGGTCTGGCAGCTGTGAGTTCTTCAGAACCATTGAAGAGTTTTTCCGAGCAGTATCGACTTTTGCTTACTGTCACATGTTCCTCCGACCCCGGCCCCTGGCCCCCTCGGAATCAATAAACAAACGCTGGTTTTAAAAGGCCAGACGTTTGGTGTAACAAATCTAAAAATTGGTCAGAGGAGGCATTCTTCCAGTGCTGGCTCATAAGATTTTGAAACTCAGTGGAGTTCAATATATCATTTATCCTCTCCTCAACCACTGGGGACCAGTTGGCCAGTTTGAAACTGGGTGAGTACACAGAATAGTAGTATTCTGTAAGGGTGTGATTCAGAATGCAATAAAACATCATGTGGAGACCCCGGAGCTGACAAAATTGGAGCACTGTTGAATGATCAGGCCCTGAACATGTCTATTGCATGTCTATTGCATGTTCACAGGAAGCGGCCTGATTCTGAATCAGACCCTTGGTCTATCAAGGGCAATACTGTCTATTCAGGCTGACAGCAGCTCTCCCGTAGGAGGGGTCTTTCACATCACCTGCTGCCTGGTCCTTTTTAACTGGAGATGCTGCTGGGGACTGAACCTGGCCTTTTTTCCATGCAAAACACCCTCTAAGCCGCGGCTCCTTCCATGATGCTCAGTGTGGAGGTGAGCAGTGTTCCCTCTAAGCTGAGTTAGTGTGAGCTAGCTCACAGTTTTTTAGCCTCCGGCTCACAGATTTTTGTCTTAGCTCAGGAAGTAGGGCTTCAGAGCAAACTAAATCATGCAGCAGCCAAATCGCTCACAACTTTAATGTCAGGAGCTCACCAAGTAGAATTTTTGCTCACAGGATTCCACAGCTTAGAGGGAGCCTTGGAGGTGAGCCGGGGGATTCTGCAGCGTTTCCAGCCCAGATAGGACTTGCTCATTCCCACTGTGCCAGTTTATCAAGAGATAAAATTCTGCCTCCTTTTGATGACTTTCAGGACCATCCACCAGCAGTGAATCACCTGGATTCCAGCAGCAACCCATCGTCCACCACTTCCTCCACGCCATCTTCTCCAGCCCCCTTCCAGTCTTCCAACCCTCCCAGTGCAACGCCTCCTCCGAACCCATCTCCCATGGGGCAGCGGGATAGCCGGTTCAACTTCCCAGGTAATTGCCAGTGGGGAGGCTTGGAGGCAAAACTGAGGAACGAGAACTTGAATCATTCGCCTGCTGGAGAAATGGGCAAGAAAACTTTTGCAAAGATTTCTCCCTACTTAATTGTTTGCATTTTTCTCACCTCTGTCTGCAGTCTCCTTGTTGCAAGGGATTACTGGGAAATTTGTGTATTCTCCATTTATAGTCCTGGGATACAGAGGTCCCAGGTGTGGTGGTAGGCAGGGTGGAAAGACACCACTAAGCAGGAACAAAGAAGATTCGGAGGCATTAAAGAATGGATCTTAGAGCACGAAGAGGTGGGAGTGCACCTCAAATTCCTCTAGACCAGCCCCTTAGACCAGTGTTTCTCAAACTCCCTGAAGCGGGACCCACTTCTCAATTTATCCTACTGTTGGGGACCCACTTGCAAGCTAACTCCATGCTACTTTCCCCTCTCCCCAACTAAAAGGCAGGAATCTCATACTGAACAAGCTTGCACTTTTCAGATTTAGTATATATCGCATTATTGAGCAATAGGCATTTTTACCGAAGCAAACCCAGTTTGCCACCAAGCCTTCCTAGTCCTCCTTTCGCAACTCATTCAGCCTTCTTCCTGGGCTTGTGACCCTTCTATGAGAGGCTTGTGACCCACTTTTGGGGGCTGGCCCACAGTTTGAGACCCACTGACCTGAACTAAAACAGAACTTTCCTTGCACCAACCCACATTTGCCCCATAACTGATCAGTTCATCATATAGCTCAAACAAGATCATGGATGTGCTGGTTGTCTTTGGACCCAGAAGTAGATCTGACTTAAGAAGAACTCTCGTGACACACGGGAACATTTTTTTTTACAAGACTTCCTCCAGTACCCAAAATTAGAGACCAGGCAGGCACCAGAAAATAATGAACAGTCCTTGGAAAATAGTGGAAGCAGATATGCCCATGTATAGCTGGACTTGATATCGGATGTATTTGGTTTAATTGAAAAAATAATTGCATTTATTGCTTTCAGCTAAGTGGGTTTTGAGAATGGTGTTGGAGGGAGAGATGCAGAGACGGTGTAATGGGTAGCGAGAGGCTTTTGGAGCAGCCCAGATATAGTGCAGAAGCCAGACAGGGGAATAGGATGAGGTTTATTTGACTGATGCCAGGACAATTTCTCTTCTGCCTTTCTTCCTGCGAAGACATCAGGTGTGTTTTCTGATCCGGCTGGAGTCTTCCACATACGCATGTATATATGCATCCAGTTGCTTCTGGGTTGCTTAATGATAACTTACTAATGATGGTTTGAAATTAATCTGCTTGTTTTATGGGGGCAGTGGCTGACACAATCTCACATGCTAATCTCTTGTGATTTTTTTTTGCCATCCTCTTCTTTCTTTTTAAAAAAGCTGCCTACTACATTCAGCATAGACAACAGTTTATTTTCCCAGGTGAGTTCCTCTAAACTGCAGGCGCCGTTTCTGCTGATACGCATTCCTTCCTCCCTGACCCCCACAGCACTGAACTTTTTCTGCATGTTGCATGAAACTATGCTTCTGCTTGTGTAAACAAATCACACTTTTCTTTTGCTTCTTGCACAGTGTTAATTTGATATGTGTTGTGCTTAAGTGACATCAAACAAAGCTGCAAAGAAGCAGGAAACCCGCTAGGGAGGCAGTGGGGCCCTTGGATGACGAAGGGGTAAAAGGAGTACTGAAGGATGATAGGGAAATGGCTGAGAAGCTAAATGCATTTTTTGCCTCTATCTTCACTGTGGGAGATGAGAAGTGCTTGCCCACTCCAGAACCTCTGATTTCAGGAGGGGTGTTAAAAGACCTGAGTCGGATTGAGGTGACGAGAGAGGAGGTCCTACAACTGATAGACAACTTAAAAACTGATAAATCACCAGGCCCAGATGGCATACATCCGAGAGTTCTGAAAGAACTCAAATGTGAACTTGTGGATCTCCTTACAAAAATATGATGAACAAAACCTATTGAGGCAGACTCAGCCAGGGAAGATCTTGTCTCACTAAGTGTTCTTTGAGGGGGTGAACAAACATGTGGACAAGGGGGATCCAATAGATATTGTTTACCTTGACTTCCAGAAAGCTTTTGATAAAGTTCCTCATCAAAGGCTCCTAAGTAAGCTCAAAAATAATGGGATAAAAGGACAAGTCCTTTCGTGGAGCAAAAACTGGCTAATTAATAGGAAACAGAGAGTGAGTATAAATGGGCAATTTTCTCAGTGGAGGGTGGTAAGCAGTGGGGTACCACAGGGATCAGTACTTGGTCCAGTGCTTTTTAACTTGTTCATTAATGATTTGGAGTTGGGAGTAAGCAGTGAAGTGGCTAAATATGCACATGATATGAAGTTGTTCAGGGTGGTAAAATCCAGTGAGGATTGTGAGGAACTCCAGAGGGATCTGTCAAGGATGGGCAAGTGGGCGTCAACATGGCAAACGGGGTTCAATGTGGCCAAGTGCAAGGTGATGCACATTGGAGCCAAAAATCCTAAATATAAATACACGTTGATGGGGTCTGAACTGGCAGAGACTGATCAAGAGAGAGATCTTGGAGTTGTAGTAGATAACTCACTGAAGATGTCGAGACAGTGTGTGACTGCAATAAAGAAGGCCAATGCTATGCTGGGGATTATTAGGAAGGGTATTGTAAACAGATCAGCCAATATCATAATGCCGCTATATAAATCAATGGTGCGACCTCATTTGGAATACTGTGTGCAGTTCTGGTCACCACACCTTAAAAAGGATATTATAGCTTTGGAAAAAGTGCAGAAAAGGGCAACTCGAATGATAAAAGGGTTGGAACACTTTCCCTATGAGGAAAGGTTAAAGCGCTTAGGGCTCTTTAGCTTGGAGAAAAGACGACTGAGGGGTGACATGATTGAGGTTTACAAGATTATGCATGGGAAAGAACAGGTAGAGAAAGAGGTACTTTTCTCCCTTTCTCACAATACAAGAACTCGTGGGCACTCAATGAAATTGCTGAGCGGTCGGGTTAGAATGGATAAAAGAAGTACTTCTTCACCCAAATAGTGTTTAACACATGGAATTCACTGCCACAGGAAGTGGTGGCGGCTACAAGCATGGACGGCTTCAAAAGAGAATTAAGCATATGGAGCAGAGGTCCATCAGTGGCTATTAGCCACAAGGTATAGATAGGGACTCTGGGGCAAGTGATGCTCTGTCTTCTTTGTGCTTGGGGGGGGGTCAACAGTGGGAGGGCTTCTAATGTCCTGGCCCCACTGGTGGACCTCCTGATGGCACCTGGTATTTTTGGCCCCTGTGTGACAGTGTTGGACTAGATGGGCCTTTGGCCTGATCCAACATTGGCGTCTCTTATGTTCTTATGTTCCATGGAATGAACAATAAAACCGTCAGCCAACAAGCTTATAGTGTAACCCCCCAAAGACTCTCTTTAAAAGGGTTACCAGCTATTGAAACACCAGTGAAGAGGGAGCTAGGAAAGGCCCCCCTCCCCCTTTAAATACAATCCTTGCTGAAACTTTCCTTGTTCCCCTGATTCCTGCACAGTTTATGATCTGCCAAGCCAACGCATCTCACTTGTCTTGAGCAGGACATCAGGGGTTGCATAACCTTTCTGACTCTGACTTTCTGGGACTAAAACCCAAGGAAATTGTCGGACCCTGTTTGGCCAAAATAGATGGGTCAGTAGTACAAGTGTGGTGAAGTGGTCAGAGTGTGGGAGGCCAATCCCCACTCTTCTCTGGAAACTTGGCTGGGTGACCTTGGCCAGTGATTCTGTCTCTCTCCATCTAACATGCCTCACAAGGGTGAGTGTTAGGACAAAATGGAGGAGGGGAGAATGATGTTGTAAACCACTTTGGATCCCTGCCCGTAGAGGCAGAATTCCTGGATTGGGTACATAAGTTCCACAGGTTCTAGTTCCTGAACCTTGTCCATTGAACAATCTTATGTAGCAAAGCTTGGAAAAGTTTCTGCCTGGGGCCCCTATGAGATAAACTTAGCTGTAGTACCAAATCTTAGCACACATTGACAAGAGAAGAGAAACAGGTAGAAAGGGGGGGGGGGAATAGCACAGTGGCAGAGTATATGGCTTGCATATATATCTTCCAAGGGTCAAATATCCCAGCAACTTTAGTTAAAGGATCTTGGGTGACAGGTCTTAGGAAAGGTCTTTCTTGGTTCGAGATGCCCCCACTTGTCAGAATAAAGGAGCGAGATGGACCCAGCAGTATTGGGCAACTTTATAGGTTCATGAATGTTTTTAGTGGGTTGCAAATTGTGGAGGCCTATCTGTCTAGTGGAGGAATGAGGCGAGAGCAAATAGATGCAGTTAATTTTTTAAAGGGCGTGGTGGAGAACAGGAAAGACTAATATAAGAGAGGGCCGGGAAGGGTCTGTTGTTTGCCAGAGTCCTCAGGAGGGAGGCTGTCTTTCCCTGCCAAGAGCTTGCACCTCTCTTTTGTTAGGAAGCACACATTTTCTTTTTTTCACTGTGATACCTCTTGTCTCCAACGTGTCTGTGGCCATAAATCCTCTCAGCAGTTCCTCGAAACTCCTTATTGTGTGTGTATTCAGCTGCAGCACACTGACAAGATGACCCTTCCAGAATCTGTCCCGAAAGAGTTGGAACATCAGCTGAGTCATCAAACGAGGAGTGAGCAGACTCCCCCCCCCCCTTTGCGCTCTTGTGCTCTCAGCACTCTTGTTAGGACTTGGTTTCTGCTCCGGGTCTTTTCAGGCAACAACAGGAAAAACTATGGATTATAGTTTTGTGCAAGAAAAGGGCTTCTTCCTTTGAGATCTGTTGATATGTTTTTAAAATTGCGTAACCCACTTTCTCCAAAAGAAGTTTTTAATTGTTTCCTTGCCACAGAAATACAGCTGAACAATAGAAGTTCTTTGAAACTTTAAAAAAGAAACTCCTTCAAAACTAACTTGGTGTGCCAAAAATAAAATGTTTTTAAAATGTTTTGGGGTTTTTGTACACAAGGAATAAATGTTTTGTTAGCTACCTCTGCGCACCCTGGAATTACATGTGTCTGTATTAATCCTAAATTTAAATATTTTATGATGTATTAAGAAGCTCCAGGAAGACAGAGCAGACCAGTGTCATCTTGGCACAAACAGGAGCCCTTTCCAGAACGCAGAGCCAGCTTCGTGGGATGGTCTTGCTGTAGGGCGGGGAATTACACGTCGCATTACACCCCTTGTATTAAAAAACAACAACAGCCAGTCATTCTATACGTAGAAAGCTAGCAAGTGAGAGCAGAGAGGGCTTTACTCTAGTTTTCTCCATGCAGGGAACATTCAACGATTCCTCTCCTCCACTTCAAAGCCGCATAGTACCAAGAGAGCTGTACCGGTTGATTCTTCCAAGCATAATTATAGCTTCAAATGGCTGATTACATCTTTATGAATGTTACTAGGGCTATCTAAGGAAAAAACCTCCATAGCTGTAGGGGAGGAGTACCAAAACATGCATTCAAATGCCAATCTCTTTCGTGTTTTTCCATAGATATCCCCAATCCCTCACAAGTAACACAGCCACCTGAAACGACAGAGAATGCTAAGTAAGTTTGTGTTTGTTTCTAATAATGCCCTTGACTCTTGTGATGGAATTGTAAAAGAAAAGCTAAGCCAAAACTATGACTCTGAGGCATTATCAAGACTGCTGGCCAGAATTCTTGGGTTCCTGTGATATTCCAGCAGTGGCTTGGAAGCTGGAAAAATTGGGTTGCGAGCTGGTGCAGGGAATGTGCCATGTAAGACTGACAGAGAACAGTAGAGCCAGTGTTGTGTAGAGAGTTGTACTAGAATCTGGGAGAGCTGGGTTCAGATCTCCACTCTCCTAGGAAGCTTTTGGGTGACTTGGAGTCTATCCTGTGTGCCTGGTCTAACTGGGGATAAGGTAGGGAAGGAGCCCTGAGCTCCTTGGGGGAAAGGCAGGAGGAAAATGCACTCCAAATGTACTCCACCTTGAGCAGGTCTCTGGAGAGGCAACATTTAATCTAAATAAATACTAGGTCTGTCTGTCTGTCAGTCTGTCTGTCTGTATTTATTTATTCTCCCAGTGGTGGGGAGGCAAAGCAGGTTTCATCATTATCCTCACCTGTATTTTTTTAATAGCATTTTATTGAAAGGTATATTGCAAATTTACAAAGTATATAAAGCATCATACTCCGGTGTTGAAATATACATACACATTTTTATCGGTTTACATGTCAGCACAGCCCTTTGCAATATTGAGTACAGAGTGTTTGGTTGTTTTTGTTACTTATATACCATAGAATACAAGAATTAACACCCTCTAACTGACCCATTTAAATGCCTGGGGTTAGTAAAATCTAGTAAAAGAGGTTAAACATTTTATACCACTAATGTATATTCCGGGAGCCCTGACCACAGTTTGTTTAAAATTAGACACCATTTTCCTAACAGGTCGGTTTGAGTCTGATTGTTCTCAGTTCTTGCAATACAATCTGGAATCTTATCAAGAATATAATATTCTTTGAGTTTGTTAATCCACTGTTGTAAGGTAGGGATGTGTCTGGTATTCCACTGTGAGGCTGTCACCATTATCAGGAGTCGTTCTTTATGTGCCCTTGGGGATTCTCAGGATATCCCACAAGTTAAGAAGGGCCGCTTTTGGTGTTTTTGGTATGTCATATCCCGTGTAATCTTTAATGCTTGTCAGTATTTGAGTCCAGTATTTGTTAACGTATTTACATTCCCACCAGCTATTCAGGAACGTCCCTTTCTCTCCACATTGTTTCCAACATGCTGAGGATATAGTAGGAGTAATATGGGAAAGCTTGGCAGGCATTAAATACCATCTTGGTATATCTGTGGGCTCTGGAGACAAAGCTCTGAACCCGTAGACAGAACTATCTGTCTTCATAGAACATTCTAGAAAATGCATGGTTTAATCTGGCAGATCAGCTTGTGCTCTTTATCTGTAGTGAAGAGAAGAAGAAGAGATTGGATTTATACCCCGCCCTTCACTTGGAGTCTCAGAGCGGCTTACAGACTCCTTTCCCTTCCCCTCCCCACAACAGACACCCTGTGAGGTGGGTGGGGCTGAGAGAGCTCTGACACAAACTGCTCTTTCAGGAACAACTGTGCCAGAGCTTGTGACTGACCCAAGGTCACATCAGCAGGTGCAAGTGGAGGAGTGGGGACTCAAACCCGGTTCTCCCAGATTAGAGTCTGCACACTTAACCACTACACCAAACTGGCTCTCTAGTGTGATTTGCCCCCTTCTGTGCAAAGAAAGCTGTAGGCAGGATTCCAAGTGATTGAACCTGATAAGAGTCAGTCCATCTCTGTATTAGCTTTCCGGCTGTAGAAGTCACAGGCACTAAGCCAAATACCTTTGATGGTGGCAGCAGAAGATACAATGCCCCGTGTATCCTAAGTGTAACTCATTGTGGCATCCTAGCAGTGGCATCTCAATACTCCCCCCTCTATCTCAAGCAGAGCTGATGAGCACCCAGAGATGGACAGAGTTGAAGAACTTGGCACAGAGGTGAGTTTTCTCTTGGTTTTGTCCTAATAAGGGTGAGTTAACACTTTAAGTAGTCTTGTTTCTGAATGTGGTGCCTTGTAAAGTAATATAAGCAAAAAAGGACGCAAGTCCCGGCCACCGCGGCCCTTTCCGCCCCAGACCCTCCTCCTCCTCCTCCATCAGCTAGTCTTGAAGCGGAAGCAAGAGGAACGCCACAGATTCAGCAAAGCCAAGAGTGAGGGTGTGCGACTGGAGGAGAGCAGCCACGTGTATGGGAGGGTCCTACACAAAGGTCCCATGTGGCACAGTGGTTAGAGTGCTGGAAGGGGGGGGTCCAGTCCCCACCCAGCTGTGAAGTTCCTTGGGTAACCCTGGGCCAGTCAGTCTTGGACTGATCTGCCTGCCGGGGTCATTATGCAAACATAACGGAGCAGAGAGCCATGTAAGCTACTCTGCATTCCTTGACGGAATTTAATTTAGTAAATCCATTTTGAGTTTTGGCAAGAAAGATATGAATTAAATAAATAAATGCCTTGAAGAAAGAATTGCGTAGAAGGAGGAGGGGGCAGAGGGGTGTCTCGGGGTGGAAGGGACATTGCAAGGAGTTCCAGGCTGTGGCGGGGGAGGTGCATGATGCAGCCACCTTAGCTGGTCTGGGTCTGGTCAAGGTCCAGATGTGACTCCTCCTGGGACTCCTAGCCCAATCCCATCAGATCTCGGAAGCTAAGCAAGGTCAGCCCTGGCTAGTATTTGGATGGGAGACTTCCAAAGAATACCAGGGGCAGAGGCGGGCAGTGGCAAACTACCTCTGAAACGTCTCTTGCCTTAAACACAAGTCTAGCTCACTACCTAGTGGTGCATAACACTAAAAAGCTAGAACTTTTGGCTGCCAGAGAAACTTAGGATCTCCTGGCTATACTACACACACTGTCATATGATAATAATAATAATAATTATTATTATTATTATATTGAGTTCTGCATTGGAAGAAGGGCAAGACAGAAGCACAGTAGATAAGTGTAGCCAAGAGGGAGAGATTGGTTGCATTTAGGTGGGGAAACGCTGTTAGAGACCCAGAATTCAGGAGTAGCCCCTCCATTAGTCATGGCGTCTTGTTGCCTGTTTCTCTTTCCAGCAAGCAGAAGACCAAGAGCCAAACAAATCCGAGGCCGAAGATGATGACGATGAGCTCGATGACCTGCGGAGCGGGCCGACTCGCTGGCGAGGGATGATCGCCCGGAAGGCCAGCCAGACGAGCGTCTACCTGCAGGAGTGGGACATTCCCTTTGAGCAGATCGAGCTGGGCGACCCCATCGGCCAGGGGCGGTGGGGCAAGGTCTACCGGGGGAGGTGGCACGGGGAGGTGGCCATCCGGCTGCTGGAGATCGACGGGAACAATCAAGATCACCTGAAGCTCTTCAAGAAGGAGGTGATGAATTACAGGCAGACAAGGCACGAGAACGTGGTGCTGTTCATGGGCGCTTGTATGAACCCCCCTCATCTGGCAATTATTACGAGGTAATAAGGACCTTAATTCTGTTATGTATCTAATTTCAATTCATCCCAGCCTCTTCTCTCCCTGTTTTTTAAAAAAGGTCTTTCACAACATGTCCGACAATTTAAAATTGCCTTGCAGTCACTCTTAGAATAGTGGGAACTGGATACTCCATAGCCAGGGACCGTATACCAGGGCTGTATGTGCATTGCTTAGGAGAATGGGAACAGTTGTTCCTCCACTCTCAGTACCAAGAAAAGACAAATTCTGCAAACTGTATAAGATGATGCCCACTCTTAAACATTTTCATATATGTCTTTTGCCAAAGATGTTATGCTACTGAAAGCCAGTTGCTGTAGAAGAAAATCTTTATAGCATTATGGCTGAGAAATCTGCTGGCAGATACCCAGGTCTCCGCGACCTTGCCTTCCTGTAAAAATTTATACATTTCCTGAGCCCATAGCCACTTTATGGAATTTTGCAAACATTGAGTGAGTACCACTACAAAATGACCGGTCAGGGGAGTGTAGCCAGCCACAGAACAGGTGCCCTGATGGGGTAGTCACAAAATAGTTGGAGGTATCTTGCCTCTTCCTGTGATGGAGGCAGCGGCTTCCAAAGGGGTGCTTCCTACAGCTACAAAGGTGACGCTTCCTGGGCCTGTGTGTAGCGCCTCCTGCTCTAATGTGGTGCAGGAAAGCAGGGACTGGTTCTGGGTTTGGGGGAAGGGAGAAATGGGCACCAGGAAGCCCAGCAGCAGGCAGCGCCCTGGGGGGTTGCTGAGCCACTTCCCCTGCCGCCCAAAGCCCAGCTAGGTGGGAAATGAACCAGGAACCATCAGTACCATTATTTTAAAAGGAAAGATGTGGCAAAACTCACCCAGATTTCCTGACAAGGAAGGTGTATGTGAAATATGGTCACCCAGTTGACAAAGCAGTGCAGAAAACAGTGTCCCATCTTCTTTGGGTGGGCTGTTGGGAGAAAATGAGTTTCAAACTCTGCCTTTCTGCCCTTCTGATAGCCTTCCAGGCAAAAGTCTCCCGGTGCTGGTGGTGACCTGGTTGTTGTTGTTGTTGTTGTTGTTGTTCAGTCGCACAGTCCAGTCTGGCTCTTCGCGACCCCATGGACCACATCACGCCAGGCCCTCCTGTCTTCCGTTTTGCTCCAGAGTTTGCTCAATTTCATGTTTGTTGCATCGATCATCCTTTGCCGTCCCCGTCTTCTTTTACCTTCAGTCAAGGCCCATGGTGACCGGATACTGACCGCTTTTGGATGTCTTGAGCCATGTCGTGTTCCACAGACTATCGCTGCTCATTGCACTCACTCGGACCCGGTGGAGGTGTCTGAAGAAAGTGTGAAGAACCAGCTTTATTTGTCTTGCCTTAATGACTGCTTGATTTTCCCTTCCGTTTTAGCTTCTGCAAAGGAAGGACGCTTCACTCCTTTGTCAGGGACCCCAAAATATCACTGGATATTAACAAGACAAGGCAGATAGCCCAGGAAATCATCAAGGTGAGAAGCGTTCTGCGAGAAGACTGGCCTGGTGTCAGCTCAGGCGGAGCCGGCTACATGCCAGATAAGTGGGATGGTTTCCCACTGCGGAGCTCCTTCCCTGAGAGGCGCAGCAAGCCCATTCCATTTCCTCTTTCAGACAGGAGGAAGGGTGAACCAAACTTGCCGGACCGGCTCAGTATGGGTGGGGCCCTTTTGGGTCGGTTCAGGGTTCAGTTCGGGGGCTGCTCCAAACCCCGAACCAAATCACTTTTTTTCAGTTTGTGCCCATCCCTAGTCTTGTGTAACAGTCAGAAATGAGTTACAGGTTCTCTTCCATGGCTGCTACGCTCTT